TAGGCAACAAGTGCCAAAATTTAGTACAAAATGTGATTTTATCAATAAATTTGACACAGATTCAGACTAAACCAAGCCTGACATATGGTTGGTTGGTTGAGTTAGGCTTGGGAGGAACCCGAAGAGCAACCACCTCCACGCGGTGGGTTCTGGGTGACCAATACAGGTTAGCTGAGAGCTGCAACAATTTTCACCTTACGCTGTGGCGCGCCGCATTTTCGCTTGTATCTCGGGAACGGTTCGTCCTACGGCCATAATTTCGGTAGCAAATGACGTGACAAATAACTTTTATACATTTTGCCATGAGATGCGTATTGCAGGCGCTAGGTAGACAATTTCACGATTTTAGGCGAATTTCCGAAATTGCAAGGCCGGAGTTGGGGTTGAAGATGCAATCCGATCTCAAAACAAAAAGTTACATTGAAATCAGGAAGTACTAAGACAACTCTTCCGCACTATTAGAAATCCCGAATCGGAAAAAGTCCGGAATAGAGCCACCCTACTAGACATCTATGCAAGTGCATATGTTGTCTTTATGTTCTGCGTTTTGTTCCTCTTTCTTTCTCCACTTCTTTTCTCCTTAAAGTTTGCAGCCGCTTTCAGGTACACCTCCTATTTTTGGTTTTTAATATTTTGTAGCTATTTTTTGTTCGCGCCCAATTGTTTTGTTTTTGTGTATATTTTATTGTCCGATTGCCTGTATATGTTTGTTTTTGTACCCTTTTACATTCTTTTTGTTAAGTTCTCGCGCCCACTGTATGTTTTTTGTGTTTTGTATATCTTGTTTCTGTAAGTTTAGATTTTATCACCGCAGTTTTTGTTACTTCATGTTTGCATATATTTTTACATTACACTTGATTTCTTGTTTTGTGTCTTATATTTGAACATTATTATTTATTATTTTTGTCACTTCACCGTGTTTTGCTTAGTTAGGTTCAATTTTCGCGGCGGATTTCGTGAATTTTTGATTGTTTAAAACTTTTAACATGTATATGTCTTTGGTATATACATACGTATCTGTTTCACTGCAGATTTTCGCTATCAAGTTTTGTTGCATTTATGTACTCTTTGTTTGTATGTTGTTTCTTTTTTGTTTGCACTGTTTTAATGTTTGTTTCGGTTGACACTCACTTTTACTGTTGATGATTTTTATTTGTATAATTAGGAATTTGACCATAATATGTGCATTTGTCAACTCATTTTTTTACGTTTTTATCGATTTAGTTTGTGGGTCACTGCATTATTTTAATATACATAATTATATATTCTTTTTCTCAACACTTTTTTAATTTTGTTTACGCCTCGTATGTAAGTGTTTTTTTTTTTTTTTATTAACACTGGTTTTGTTTGTTCTGTTTTATTTTTTTCTTTCTTAGATTTTAGTTTTGTTTAAAATCCAATAGTGCCTTTCTGTAAGGCTCGTAGGACCATGAATAAGAGGATGCCCAAATCGTGATAACACCCACTACAATTTAAATTGTTAATAAAGCACTTACACTCGCGTTAAGTACCATTTATAAAGTAAAAATGCGATTTATTTCGGATAGATTAAATCTTATTTTACTTTTATAAAGTTATTATCGTTACAATACAAATGATTGTATATAAAAAACGGTTCCGAGGATAGTCAAATAATTTTTCGATTGGATTTTTGCCAATGTCTGATTCTCCTTCGGTTTATAAGGTAATTACAGCGCACGAGATTCATGACGGAAGAAAAACGAAAGTTGATATGGGCACAGGATCCTTGATGAGGGAAAAAATGTAAACAAACAATTTGTTTTAAAACAATGAATCTAATTTCACCTAATTTCATCAACTTAACAAATGAAAAAATGCATCCATTATTTCTATTATATGGAAAATATTTAAAAAAATTACAACTTTTATTTCAAAATACTATATGACAATCTTTTCTTTTGATAAATATTAAGCGATGTGAATTCTTGAATGACAATAACAGCTGTTTTTTTGATCTTTCTAACGGCAGTAAGAACACTGTTGGGTTATGAAATGCTTAAATGTAATCTAATCTTTTAAATTTTCGGTTTGATTTGTATAAATTTCATTATTTTATAATTTTTATAGTATATGTATAATGTATCTTTTTTACAGATCATAACAAAGTACAAATAGAGTGCTATCTCAACTTTATGCGGGTTCATCCGGAGATAAAGTTGCATTAAGACCACCCATCGCGGCCGAAAACGGTTGAGGAGCTTTGAGCGGAACTCTCCTCAAAATTAAATGCCCTAAAAGGGCCCACCAGGAGCCCTATCAAATGGAAAGAGGTAATTTTTAACCATAGATATTGGCATATGTATGTATTCATGTCCTTAGGAAAAACCAAATAAGGGCATGTGCAAGGAAAGCCAAGGCACAAAAGCTGGTGACAGGGGGCGGTCCCAGCTCAACAATTGAGCTCTCTGAAACGAAGCAGAGAGCGTTATATACGTTGTGGTCAATCGCTGTTGATGGGCTGGCTGATATACCAGCCATTGGCATAGAGGTAAAAATAGCAAGAACGACCAATACGAGTGTGCAGAATTTATAATTGTTTTTCTTTTTCTAATTTAGGAGAAGTAGTTTTCACAGCTGCACCATCGACTTCGGATGCGTCCAATGACTGCACCCCGTCAACGTCCCGGAGCAAAAAAAAGTCGGCGGACGAAATGTTCAGAAATTATATGGATTTAATGAAAGGAAAAGCCGAGAAGGACAGAGCTTTCCGGATTCAAACGTTAGATTTATTAACAAACACACAGAATCCATTAATAATTTAGCGGCAGCGATGGCTCAGATCATTGTAAAAAACACAGAAGGTTGTACAAAAAGGTGAAAATGTGCTTTTTTATGTATATATGAATTATTTATTGTTATGTTTTTTGCACAAAAAAGGGAAGGTGAAAAATGTTTCTTTTTATGTATTAATATTATTTTATTGTTATATTTTTTGTATAAAAAAGTGAAAATGAAAAATGTTCCTTTTTATGTATGTATGAATTATTTATTGTTATGTTTATTTTATAAATGAAATAAATGAAGTTTGAATTGAATTATACATATATTGGTACAATTTTAATTATCTAATGTGTTAATGCACCTTTGACGTGCTGCTCTGCCTCGAGTGTAATACTCCTACGAATGGATTTCAGAGACTGCTCCCACATTTTCAGGAGGATCGATCTTGCAATAATTGAAAAATGCCACGTTTTTGTAATACATTGTGAAATATTGTACAAGTATAAACAAATAATGCAGCTTTAGAATGTTTGTACCGCAATGTACGTTCTTTTGAAATGCAACGAAAGCGAAAACTCCAGACGCTCTTTCAATCGTGTTTCTTGTTCTTATGTGCTAAGTATAGAAATTTTGTTCATTTGGTGTTTCAGGGTTTACCACCGGTGTAGAAAACAGTCGCAAAACAATCAGAATGTTCAAATACCTTCAAATTTCACAAATTTATTTAATTTTCATTGTTTAACATTTTTTATACACTTACGCTTACATATTTTTTGCTAATATTTCAATCTGGCCATCGCTCGTTTCCAATTGATAAACGTGAAAACCTACTGAACTCGATTAGCTGCCAAAGTTCAGTAGGTTTTGACCTTCAGTAATTGCACTCTCACTTTCAGTGAGAGAGGAGTTAAACATCTCTTTATCTCTGGCGACTGCGAATGTAGCTAGAAAATATGCACCTTGTTATCCATTATCGCAAAATTATAAATATTAATACCTTACCTCTTTTCCTCCTCTCATTTTTTCATCCTAAGGTAAAATAGTCCAACTTCATCAATCATTGTTGTGCTCTTGTTTTTCTATGACCTGGTGAAAAGCGTATAACAAGTTAGATACTGATATTGCTCAATTAGAGATGAGACAAACTCAGCAGAATATCAAGCAGTCACAAAATAGATTTCACCACAGATTCGTCTCTATTAGAGACTTGAGTCTGCTCGCAAAATACCGGCATTAGTTTATACTAAATGCGATAAATCGCATGCATTATTCGTTTTAGTATTGAAATTTCATTATCATCCTGCATACGAGCATATGTATATTGTAACTACGGTCATTTCTATACATAATATTCTATTATTGTTATATGTTAAACCATTTTCGATATCCATCAAACAAACCAGTGATTTGCAGTGAATGAGTTAAACACAATTTTGAGCTACTTCCAGAAAAAAAATTTACTATAAAGCAGGTAAATTATTTAGGGAATGAGTAAAAGTGTGAATACTGTTCACTTACAATTATGGGAAAGAGACAGTTTTAACTTGTGTGCTGCTTAGCTTATGGGCTTTTTTTTACATTAATGTTAGGCCAATAAAAATAGTATCATCCATAATATTATCATTGCGTGCCTTTAACTRTTGGAGCAACTAATGTTGATAATGGAATCCAAGACCAAAATTCCCAATAATACATTGATGATAGCGAAGATCCTGTTGCCATTCAAATAAGAAATAATTTGGCAAATTTGTTTGCATCTCATATTTTATATATTTATTTTCACATTTATATATATTTTAGCATTAATTTATTAATTAAAATTAAATGTAAGATCGAGATACTGTTTTATAGAAGAAAAAAAAACAGTTTTGACATTTTAATGTATATTAGTTTCAATGTCACAAGTGCAGAGATCATTATTTTAATATTATCGATTATTGCAGAATATTTAGAGGTGCATCGATTGAATAACTCGTTAAAAAAAATGTTCATATAGTAGCGTTACGGCTTTCATTTGGTTATTCCGTTGTTTATGGGTGGTCAATAAATTCAGAAACTTTCGGAATATCTGTTCTCTTGTTTGATTAAGTCCGGCTGAATTTTCTGCATCTCTCGAAGAACTCGGCCCCACCGAAATATCTTAATTTTTAGCCCTGTTTGAAAATTCTCCTTCAATGCCGTACTCTTATTAGCCACTTCAAAGTATTTGTGCAATTTCCTCGTCGTCTAATCTATTGAAATAAAAAACACAATTTATATTTAATGTAAAAATGTATCTTTATTAAACGTTATAATAAATAAAAATCAAATTAACTTTAAATAACTGAACGGATCCACTTGAGTTTTAGGCCAAAATGAATCAAATGTTTTCTTGATGCAAGGTTTGCGAAATATTCCCAAGTGTTTGGTTTTGAGTTCACAATACTTATGAATTCGCTTGTGCGCAATTCTCTTGAGCCATTTAACCCGTAACGCTATAAATCAAAGGATAGAAAAACCATTATGAAAGTATTAAGAGTTACTATTATATTATACAGCAAGGATTTTGTAACTAGTTCCAATAATGATTACATATGATGAAGAATCAGAATATGCTCATTTTAAACCGACGTACGAGCGTAAATTCAAAAAAAGTATTACTGATTTATAAGCGATAAAGGGCGAGTAATAGCGTGAATAATAACAAAAGCAACATATATTTTTGGATGCGTCGAGATGCGGGGTTAGGTATTGTGGCGAACACAAATGCCAGAAAAAATATAATCGGAAATAAATTTGCTAGAATTAATAGACAGTTACAAGAATTTTCGAGAAGCGATGTTTTGGTAGCTATCTACAATATAAGGGCTGAAGCATTGTGTAACAGATACAATTCTAACTACAGTTTTGCTTAGTAAATACAGAGAATGTAGATTTATAGAGAAGGTTCATCGTGTGCAAGTTGGGCATGCTGAGAAGCAGAGTATTTTACAAAGAAGCTGATGCAGTTCCACTTGTTTGAATAGCTCCGACGTCGAACCTTCCTTGTGTTTGTTGACGTGCGTTTTTTGCTGCACAGAGTAGGGTGCGTATCTTGGCTGCAACAAGTTAGTGGTCGGAGTCGATGTTAGGTCCTCGGACCGTGCGCACGTCTAAAACACTGGACACGTATCTTCGGTCTGTCACTCTATCACGACATGATCGATCTGGTTGAATGCTTTTCGATCCGGAGACAGCCATGTAGCTTGGTGAATTGTTCTATGTTGGAATTTAGTATATAGTATATCAGGCCCCGGTTAAGTCGATCAGGCTCAAAACACTTGTTAATTCTTCATCGTAGAGGCTGAATTTACCAACTGTTGTGCCAAAGATATCTCTTATTCCAGTTGCGAAACATCAAAACCTACCAGATCTAATTAAGTATCAAAATTGGGTAGGTGAGTGGCTCTCTCATTTCCAATGACCGTAGAGTTGGGCATTTCTTTATCTCTGGTGGGAATGGCAAGGCGCTGTCAACCTGCCTTTGGAGCCCCTTGCCTTCAATGTGAGACGCATTTGTTATAAATAAATAAATGACAGTAAATTATTTTACAACTGCATTATACTTACCATAGCATTCGTGCTTTCCTGTTTTATTTGCTTTTCTTCCACGAAGCGCAGGTGCTCTTTCATTCGCATGATCAGCTCAAACCTTTGCTTTGTTTATATATATAATCTCAACTCTTGAAAATCTTAGGATGTAGTGTTAGCATTTAAGGTACTTATAAATTTTAAATTTTGATGAGCAACACTTTAAAATATATTAAATAATGCAAGTGTTTATGTTATTTAAGTGATTATATTGAATTACATTGCATATCTGTTCAATTTTATTGGGGTGTTACTAGTTGTTTAATGTTAAATCAGTTTTTTTTTTGTGTAATATTTAAACACGCATTAATTATTTGTAAATTTTTGAATATAATAGGATAGAGTCCTGGGTGGTAATTTGTCGTTTGACATATACAAATTGACAAATCGTTAGCAGATATATAATATTAAAACATCAATTGGAAATTGAGTTCTCAATATATAAAATATCTTGGAATTGTATTTCTAAATTAAAATTATTGGTAGAACTTACGAATGCAAACCGTTTTATGTTCTCTGTCTGTCAAAAAAAAAAAAATACATTCAGAAGAAAGCTCACCACTGATAAATCTAAAATTAGGGTTGCATTTTATTTATAAGAACTCACTACATAAAGAATATCTGAATATCAGAAAGTGATATTTTTATGGGCGAAATATTGCACACTATGGCGTTAAAATCAAATATTGGTAAATATATATCATTAATAAATAATTTGCTTTTATATTAAGCGACAATATTTATAATTTTTGTTATTTGCTTTACTGAAAATCCAAGATGCCCCCTCAGAAAGCTACTACGGAAAGATTTTCTGCTGTATATACTGCGATTATCAGTCTCGAATAGAGTTCTGCACGTCACTGGTAATGCGGCTAAGAGCGCAAACAGCGAATTCCGTAAACCCGTGGCCCGAATTAGCTTATACGACCTATCTTATGGGAGCGCAATGTAAATGATCCGCCTACACCACTTCTACCTTCCGCTTTACCTTAGAAACGTGTCAGTCTCGATATACTGTAGTAATTATAAAAATTGTCTTCAATATGTTTGAAATTTTCTTAAACTAACTCAAAATCAGAGTCGAATACTATTATTTATAAATATATAAACTATTTTTAATAGTTTTTTCTCAGTTTTGATATCTTATATTATGAAAATTGTAATTGAAAACTTAGATGTGTACAAAAATACATATGCGTGTTGAGTAATGGCAACATTGTTCACATGAAAACAAGCAAAGATGGCTGATTTCTACGGGAAGGGAGTAGCGTTTTTCGCTATAATTGAGTGGTGCATCTTTGCCGCTTTGACGCGGAGTTAATTACTGTTTTATTTTTTTCTAATATAAAATTGCATTCCTTATTTTGCCCTTTAAGGATTTTGTATGGCAGTGAGAAGGTCATCAACACCACATTTACCGTACGGGTCTCAATTACATCCAGCTTCTGGATTATATCTGAAATTCAGAAATATATTTTTATAAAGCAAATATTAATTTACATATTTATATAATAATACATTATTAACAAATATATGTCCCAAGATGTACATTTAGTTTATACTAAATGCGATAAATCGCATGCACTATTTGTTTTTGTATTGAAATGTCATTATCATCGTGCATACGAACAGAAATAAGCATATGTATATTGCAACTATGTTTACTTTTATACATAATGTTCCAATATTGTTGTTTTCATTTTAAACAATTTTCGATATCCATCAAACAAACCAGTGATTTGTAGTGAATGAGTTAAACACAATTTTGAGCTACTTGCAGAAAAAAAAATTTATTGTGAAGCAGGCAAATCTTTCACGGAATGTGTAAAAGTGTGAATACTGCTCACTTCCAATTATGAGAGAGAGACAGTTGTGACTTGTGTGCTGCTTAGCTTATGGCCATTGTATAAACCTACAAGTAACCAATCCTTCACTTTTCACTAAACATACCCAAAAATCTAGTACAAATTAGGCACTTGGTACGGGTTACCCCTAAATATTCTACTACAAATTACCCAAATATTCTGCTACTAATTAGACACTTGGTACGCGTTGCCCCCAAATATTCTAATACTAAAACGTTCAAATGTCTCAAATATGCTATAGTGTATTGCCGTGTTAGGTTTTAAAATTTATAACTTTAACAATATTTTTATAAAATATTCACATATTTTTAGATTATTTAAATTCGTAAATATTAAATTTAATCAGTTTTGTTCAAAATATTAATTATTGTATCAATATATTACCTATTAAATGTTTCCAATTTTATAAAAAAATATTTATATAATATTTGTGTAAAAACCAAATATATTGTGCAACCGTGTAATATGTCAAATCATTTCAACGAACATTTTTTTAAGCTTAAGAAGCTCAGGAAAGTTTAAATCATTATTTTAAGTTTGTTTTTAGAAAAAATTAAATCATCATTCAAAGAGATATTCAGCGCATGTAAGTATATTAAGTTAATTAAATTTGTTAATATTTGGGAAATGTCCAGGTGAGTTTTATGTATAAAAATAATATAATTATGTACATAATATTATCGTAAGTAAATAAATATGTAAAGTTAGTGCAAATAAGTGAACAAGAAGTGAATAGGGTCATCCTAAATCGTGATTTTATAAAAAGGGAAGGTTTAAAATCGTGTTGTTAAATTTAAAAAAATTAATTTAAAAGTATTTGCTTATAGTGTATGTCAAAGTGTATTCAACAAAGTGAACTAAGTATTTGACTTACGCTTATTTGATAATAAAATAGTAAACAATTCACGTATTTGTTTATATTAACCCGTGAGTTTTTATTTTTTTGATCTTGAACAATATGAAACCATTTACTTTACATACATATATATGAAAAATAGAGAAATAGAGACAACCAATTTATTTGTTCACAACGTTATAATGAATTCATATTTATTTTACAAACAGACGTGTATAAATACTACTACTATAGTGCCTATATATATACGTCGTAACCAGTACCCCGCCAAACTATTAGAAACTGTATGCCGATGTTTAACCGACTCTTTAAATTATAATAGTTATTATAATTCTTTCATATAGTTCATTCAAAAGCATAAATCATATAAATCAAAAATTAAATTAATAGGTTTGTTTCTAATGTTGTATTGTTGTTGTGATATTTTTGGTTCAACTGTTTATTTTTAAATTGTTACTGTTAATGTACGTATTTTTTGTTTAATTTCAATTAGGCGGCACGAATGGATCAAGCTGCTGGACGTAACAAATCCAACGGCTAAATATTTATTTGCGTGCCAAAGACATTTCTCGTTAAAGATGAGGAAGGGACGGCGTATCTTCTGATCAGCTACACCGGATTTAAATTTAAAAGTAGTATCACCTGCTGTTAGAGTAGATAAGGCAATAGGTTGTAGTGGACAAGTAGGTAGTGTATTTGACCAACACGAACAAGACATTATAGAATTAAGTAGTGCAGATTTTAAGCCGATGCATCTCAGCTCTTCTCGAATTAGAACACTAATATGTTTGAAGTTGAGACTTTGGGTAAATCCTTTCAACCCCTATATAATGAAGATCATACATATTCTTTCTCTTTAGGTAACTCTCAAATTGTTAGCACTTGGGCAAATAGTAGGCAAATGCAAACAGAAGAATATTTAACAGAAAGGACACCTAGAAAAAGAATGTATCGGGAGGAGTTAGACAAAAAATCGCAGGAAATAGAATTTTTAAGCAATAAAGTGAGAGTTTTAGAGAATAAAATAGAAATTTTAGAAAATAATAAAAATTTGTCTATAGTAGGGCAGGAAGAAAATAGACAAATTTCAGAGCTATGCGGCAAACTTCCTCCACATCTTGCGATATATGTGAGAAATTGTTTAAAAATTGCACCCCGTACTTCGAAGGGTTATATACATATATGATACGGAATTAAAAACATTAGCTCCGCCTGTAAAATTTTTATCACCTATTGCATTCAGGTATTTACAGCCTATTTTTAATTGGCCATCGCAGTCACTTGCTCGAACAATTTGTTCAGGGTTGGCCACGTACCCTGGCTGCAATTTTAGCAGCATTAAAGCCCTGGAGTTGAGAAGCCGTGGTTTCACTGAAATAATGACTCGGAAGTCATTTACTTCTTTGATTCTCCTCACCTTTTAAAAAGTACACGAAACTGCTTAGAAAATAAAAATAATAAAGTCGTTGTAAAGGGGCGTCCAGTTGAATGGTCGGATATCATTCATATATTCATATATGGTACCCCAAACGACATTAGTTGCACCCATAAATTGGAAATTAGCGTGCAATTAGCTACTCAAGTTTTTAGTCACTATGCTCGCCATTTATAGCTCCGGGAAACTGAATACTTCTAAATCTCCATCTTTTATTAACACAGCCGAGTTTGTCCTTTTTTTGTGATAAATTATTCAATATTTTTAATAGCAATATCTTTGGAGCAGTGGGGAATTTTAAAGAACCCTTTCGGCAACTGCGGACCAATTAAAATTCCTTAAAGAAGCAGAGGAGTTTCTTAACTCCACAAAAGTGTACGATTGGCTTCTAAATATAAGTACCTTAAGATGTTTGTGGCGCGTCTGGTCACATAAGGGATTCACACATCTAATGACTAGAAAACTGACTCAGGATAGACTGGAAAATTTTTTCGGACATATACGCAGAGGAGGGGGATTTGATGTGAGAATAACTCCGCAGCGTTTCTCATATCTTTTCAGACAAGCCTGGGGCATAGGATATATTCGTTGTGTAGTTAAAGGGAACTGCGAACTCTTGCCAGTTGACCAGTGTGAGTCATTTTCTAATAGCTCCCTCAAAAGCGCCTGCAACGACGCTTTGGTTCAAAATACCTCTTAGCAAGCCTTTCAAAGTTTACCAAGACCTACCAATTCTACCTCATTTCAAAATATACAAATCGAGGTAAATGTGGACGTAGATGAAAGCACCTTTCTACTTAAAAATGATTGTTGTGAATATTGTAATTCTAATATTATGAAATGTCTATTCATTAGAATGAGAACATATTTCCTAGTAAACGCTTTTAATAAAAAAGTAAAACAAAGTGATTTCAAAAATGTAAAGTTCTTGTGTGTTACACATAAATAGTAAGTATATCTATATGAGTCGGAATTTATATGTATATATGTCTGTCAGTCTGAATTATTTTATATTTGTCAAAAAGTTTATCTG